GCACTCAACATGTATTGGTTGATTTGCTTGCTCTTGCATTCTCCTCAATGTAGAGTAACATTTTGAGGAGAGAATATTGATAATTGTTTCCTTTTTTTAGTTTTTTTTTTAAGAATTTTATAAATGCAATTGCATATGTTTTGGTGCAAAGTTGAAGTTTACTAGATATATAAGTTAGCAACATCAATACTTTTATGATCAACTACTAGAAGTTATGAAATAAAATATATATGAGCATCATTAATCTATTTCTTTCAAAAGTGTACTTGTTTTGCTTATGCATGCACTGATGCAATTTCGAAGATTATATGTCAGATAATATACCAATAACTAATTTTTTACTTCTATCACGCTAGTCAAATCGGGTACCCCCAGCAAATTATTAGAGCTTAGTGAGATCTCTTAACCAAATATGACTCAATTCATAATCATTATTTTCCCAAATCGACTGAACACTTGAACGTGCTCTCTAGCAACATGTAGTAAATGTAGGAAAACTTCCTCGTCAATTTAAAATTGACAAATGGTGATCGGTTGAGCCCTTTGATAGTTATTTTCCATCATCACTTTAAATTACAGTTGAATGATATCCCCAAATTGATTTCTTATTCAACAGATAACCTTGGTGAAAGCATATATATAAAAGTACACATAACACTCTGAAAGAAATAGATGAACAATGTTCATATATATTTCATTCCATATCATCTACTGTTTGATCATAATAAGGATAGATGTTGCTAACTTATCTCTCATGCAAACTTCAATTTTGCATGAAAACATAACCACATATATTACATTCTATAAAAATATATTAAAACTAAAAAAAAGGAAGCAGTGTTCAACAATCACCTCCAAAATTTTATTCTACACTAAAGAGGGGGCAAGAACTTTCTCAGATGAGGCACATCGATCAAGAAAATTTTCTACAGAAACTATAAAATAGTGCTCATATATCTATGCAAAATAGACATGCAAAAAATTCTGAAATAAACAAATTAACAATGCTTATATATATTTCATTCTATTGCTTCTACTGGTTGATCAGGATATGTGAAGATGTTGCAACTTATCTATCATACAAACTTTAACTTTGGAACAAAATGTATGCAATTTCATTTATTAAAATCACCTAAAAACTAAAAAAAAAAAGAAAGATTGCTCAATATTCTCCCCCCAAAATATTATTCTACATTGAAGAGTAGGCAAGAGCAAGCAATTCCATCAACAAAATTTCTCAGAGAACTATAAAACAGTGCTCATATATTTATAAAAAAAATAAATAATTTTGAAATAACAATGCACATATATATGTCATTTCATTGCTTCTACTGGTTGATAAGAATATGTAATGATGCTGATAACTTATTTATTATGCAAACTTAAACTTTACAACAAATCACATGCAATTTGATTTATAAAAGTTTCAAAAAAATTAAAAAAATAGTGCTCAACATTTTTCCCTCAAAATTTTACTCTACACTGAGGAGGAGACAAGAAAAATCAATTAGACAAATAAAAGTTCTCAGAGAAAATGTAAAACAATGCTTATATAGCTATGAAAAAAAAAAAAGAAAATTCTCAAATAAACATAGTAACAATGCTCATATATATTTCATTCCATTGCTTATATTGTTTGATCAGAATAGGTTAAGTTGTTGCTAAGTTATCTATCATTCAAACTCTAACTTTGCAACAAAACATATAAAATTTCATTTATAAAAGTGTTAGAAAGCGTAAAAAAATAAAAAGTGCTCAACATTCTCCCCATCAAAATGTTACTCTACACCGAGGAGGAGACAAGAGTTAACAATACAACCAATAAATTTTCTCTGAGAAACTGTAAAATACTACTCATATAGCTATAAAAAAAATTAACAAAAAAATTCTCAAAGAAGCAGATGAATAATATTTATATATATTTTATTACATTGCTTCTACTAGTTAGTCAGGAAAGATGAAGATGCTGATAATTTATCTATTATGTAAACTTTAACTTTATATCAAAGTATATGCAATTTCATTTAAAGGTCCCAGAAAAACTAAAAAAAAGAGTGCTCTGTTCAACAACACCCCCCTCCCCTCGAAAAAAAAGTGTTACTCTACATTGAGAAAGAGGCAAGAGCAAGCAAATTGACCAATAAAATTTCTTAGAGAAATTGTAAAACCGTGCTCAAATATCCAAACAGAGAAAACACACAAAAAGTTGCTAGAGAAACTAATGAAAAATGCTCGCATATATTTTATTTAATTGCTTCTACTGGTTGGTTAAAATATGCATAAATGCTGCTAATTTATCTATCATGCAAACTTCAACTATAAAATTCTTAGAAAAACTAAAAATAGAATGTAGTGCTTAACGTTATCCCCCTAAAATGTTACTCTACAATAAGAAAGGGGCAGTGACAAACAACTCGATGAAGTAAAATCAGTGCATGAATATGTAATAAAAGTTCATAGAGAATTCTTAAAGAAACAGATGTACAATGCTCATATATATTTCATTCCCTATATTTTATTGGATGATCATGATAGGGATAAATGTTGCTAACTTATCTTTGATGCAATGTTCAACTTTGCATTAAAGCATATGACATTCCATTTATAAACATATCTCAGATACTTAAAAAATAAATTCTTAAGGAAGCAGATATACAATGCTCATATATTTCATTTCATAGCTTATATTGGTTGATCATTATAGGTATAAATGTTGCTAGTTTATCTATCATGCAAAAAACAACTTTGCATTAAAATATATGCAATTCTATTTGTAAAAATATTTCATATACTAATTTTTTTTTAAAATAAATAGATGAACAATGCTCGTATTGCTTTTTTTTCCATAGATTCTATTGGTTGATCATGATAGCTATAGATGTTGCTAACTTATCTACCATGCAAACTTTAATGTTGCATCAAAACATATGCAATTTCATTTATAAAACTATTTGATATGCTAAAAAAAGAAGTAGTGCTCAATAACTTCCCCCAAAATGTTACTCAACTCTGTAGAGAAGACACGTGCAAGCAAATCAATCAACTATCATCATTCCAAGCATATGTAGAATAAGTTTACTTATAATTCCTAACGAAACAACTGTACAATGCTCATATATATATATTATTCCATTAATTTTACTAGTTGATCAAGATAGCTTTAGATAATGCTAACTTATATGTTCTGTGAACTTCAACTTTGCATTAAAACATATGCAACCCCATTAATAGATACTACAACGAAATAAAAAAATAAATAGGTGCTCGGAAATCTCCCCCCCCCCCAAACAAACGGTTAATCGACACACATGCATAGAAAAGTGCAAGCAAATCGATCATTAAACATCACTGGATGCATGTGCAGAACAAACACACAAAAATTCTTTAGAATAGAGAAACACAGAAGTAGACAAGAAATAAACTCCAAAAAAAATTCATAATGGAGAAATCTTCACCCGAGATAGGCGACAAATCGACAGCGCCAACAATGGAGGGAGGGGAGTGGAATCGGGTTTCATCCCTAACGACACATGTAAAAATGAGGAGAGGGTCGAAGGGTATATGTGAGGATAGGGGAGTGGGATTACAAAAATCTGAGGGACAACAACGTCAAAGGCCCCTCGCAATAGAGCGATCGCAGAACACTCTCCTCTCTTTTGTTTCAGTGTTCGATGAAATGCATGCCCTATCCGCGCAACACACCAAAATAAAAAGTTCCCAAACGAGACTTTTCTAATTCCGAAATGCATACGCCGCAAAAGCGGCCTCCCAAATGGGGCCTTAATAATATAGTTTAATATAAAGTGTTGTCCACCGCACGTCGACTACCACTAGGAGTGCAAATGAGCCGAGCTTGAGAGAACACAGGCTCGGCATTTGCTCGTCTAATTAACAAACACCTCTGTTAATGTCCGACTCGTTTATATATCAAACGCAAAAAAAAAAAAAAATTACTCGTGTTTGTCTAATGTGCTTAGTGAGTCGAAAACTGACTGTTTGCGAACAAAGAGTCTTTTTGACAGCCCTAGTCATACAATCATAGGATGTTAAAGGCAAATAGATATTTAAATCTTATTATATATTAAAATATTCATTTAAATAGAATTTAATATATTTTATTCAACTTTTTAAATAATAATATTTATTGATTATAAATCTTTGTACGTTATAGTTAGTTAAAATATATAATTTAATTTTTTCGAGCCAAAACGTGCCAAACACGAAAAAAAAAATCTTTGCGTGTTTGACTTGTTTATATATCAAACACTAAAAAAATTATTCTTGTTCGACCATTTGCTTAGCGAACAAATCAAATATGAGCTATTTAAACGAGCTGAACACAAGCTGTTCACAAAAATATAAGTCACTTTGATTTTTGATAGCCCTAGCCACCACCACCAACCAACGTTAGCACCGCCCACCCATCGGTTATCGCGACCCTCAGCTATTGCCGACCACCTCAACTGCCAGCCACCGATCGCCTGCTGCCTTTAACAGCTCCCGCCACCGCCGACATCTGTTGATGACAACTACCATCAACCACCATCGTTGCTTAATCCTACCGATCACCACAACTCCCGCCAATATACATATTACTTTGAATTATACTAAATTCAATTTAATTCGAACCAACCAAAACAAATAAATTTGTTTATTTATTTTAAACCAAACCAAACAACTAAAATAATTTAAATATAATTCATTACCTCTGCATTGTATTTATTTTACACTACATTACTTTTTAACAAATTAAATAGTCTCTTAATCAATGGTGATATCAACCAAGTGCTTCTTCAATGTTCACTAGTGGATTACCTATTATGTTTAACTACTATATTTTGCAACTTGATACAAAAACTCAGAATGCCCTCATGTTTTTGGGTCTTAACCAATTAAATTATAAAAATAAGAGGGGCTTTCATGCTAAACTTGTCATAAAAACCCTTGAAAAACTTGAAATACCCTAAGTACGAAAATTTAAACGAGCATGTAAAATGCATTTAATGAAATAAACCTTATATTTTTTCAGGCCTTGCCTAACCCCTAGCGCCGTCCACAGTTCAAATGTTCAGTCCCTCCTTCCGCCGACGAGATGACGCCAACCGAAGGCCTTAAGCCGGAGTCTGGCCTCGCGGCCGAGATAGAGGTGGAGGCCTACCGCCTCCTCTTTCCCCTCCAGTATTACGAGCGCCATCTTGCAGAGTCCGTACGCCCAGATAGCCGAGCTCTTGGCCGCGCTAGAGATACCACCATCGCCCTCGGTTCGATTTCCCGCCAACCCCTTAAGTTCTCCATCTCCAACCAACTCTCTCTATCTAAATCATTTCATTCGCGAGATATTTTTCTCCATCAGGACCCGTAACTTCAGCCGATGGATCTGCTTTAGTAAAAATCGGAGATACTGTGAGCTTTGCTTTAGCCTTGAAATTGTATGTGCAACTTCATGCTCAACGGGTGTTTGATGAAATGCTTCTAAAATGCAGACCATGCTGGCAGCTATTAAACTGGAAGTTATGACTCCTTGTATTGGCTCTCCTGATGAGGGAAGCGTAGGTTGGTGTTTGTTTATCGCCTTATGCTTCTGTTCCTTTTTTTACATAGTTTTTTTATAGAAGGTTTTTTTTTTGAAAAGTTAACTTTGTATTATGCATGCGTGTTGTCCAGCTGTTGATTTTCAAATGCCGCCTATTTGTTCTCCTGTTGTTAGACCAGGGAGGCTGGCAGAGCTTGCTCCTGTTATTGCCAAGCAGCTTTCTGATGTCATAATGAGGTTCTCTTCTTGCTCCTTAACTACTTTGCTACAATTTAACTGCAATTTTTTTATTGGGAAGACATGATTGTATGCGTTCAACTTTGTTCTTTATAGTTTGTGGACTCCTAGTAGATCAATTTCTTGCTTCATGAAACTGCACATGTCTATTTCCTAAGTAATGAAGTGCAGATAATGTAATCTTATTCTGGTTTGTTTAATTTAAAGTAACTGCGTCTTTGGTCTACTTCCTCTTCGAAACTGCTGCAAATTAAAAGAAAATGTAATTATAGTGATTTGTTTGAGCTTAAATGTAATTGAAACCCAACAATTCCTTGAAGGAAATGTTATCCTCCCATGGATAAGTATACCTGAATTGACGGCAATAACAAAGTGAAACCACAAAATTGAATTAGTGAAGAACATACTTCTGCTGGAAATGCACACAGATGATGCTCTAGTGTAGGTACACTTCCTCATTGTTTCATTTTTTAATTGTAGCACTTACAAAGTAGTTTGTTCTTGTCTGTGAGGGTAATCCTTGACTTTCATCTAAAAAAACGCCAACAACCACATAGCATTACAAAGGATGCCAAGTCTGAGAGCTCTGAAGGGTAAATACTGAATGACTGTACCTTGGCTTGTGTTTATAATTCTACATCTTTAGTTTCCAACTAGAAATTTCCAACTTTTGCTTGGAATTTTTTTGCTTTAAGCTTCAGTCAACTCTGGAAGAATTTTGGATGAGCAAGAGATGGCTGATTCTTTCACTTTTGAATATTGCATTGAAATCAAATCATAAATCACTCTTAGCAAAAGTCATGATTTTACGTATTCGACCTGCTGAAGCCATGACTGTGTGAATATGATATTGAGTAGCACTAAAATCCGGAGAACCAACTAAGTCCACTTTTCAAGAATTTGTATGAAGATTGGATGATTATTGTCAATTTTTAGTCTCTCTGCCCAATAGAAGAGCTGTCAAATGATCCATGACTTCTCCCTATATCATTAGTTACTATCAAAACTTAATTACAATCACTATATGTCATCATACATTCCCTGCTAGGCGATATTTTGTTTATATTGCCCAATCCAGACTTTTCACATTCTTTTCAGTCTCTAGAACTGTCATTTTCCTACTACAATTAAAGCAGCTAGCTTTCTTCTTAGCTAAGGAGAACCCATCATTCTGCAATTTGAGGAGTTTCAATTTCTTATATGAAGAGTTTTAGTGCATTTATTGTTTTGCTAAATCAAAGTTTAAACCTTTTTTGGATTTGAAATCATCTTATAAATAGGATAGTGCATTGGGTTGTGTTCTCTGATTTTTATCTGTGAGGTTGGCTTTGCTTGCATATTGCCAAGTTTGAACATGAGAATGAAGGTTTGTCTATGATGTTTAAGATGATAAAATAGAGAAATGAAGGAGATTAATGGTCCGTTTTGGGCCTCTTTTTTTGAGCGGCGCGGCCCCAAACCGCGACACCCGTATTTTCATTTTCGCTTTCACACAACGTTTGTGGCGAGCAGCCGCGAAAGTAGGCGGAACGCGGGCCACAGAATTGACCCCGCGGCCCCGCGTTCGCGATTATTATTTCCCCCATTTCCCTGCTCGAAGCCGCAACACCCTCGTTACCGAAACCGTGCGGAGGGAATTTTCTGCCCAGCGAAGCCCCTACGTCGCTGCTTCCGTAATCGTCGTGAAGCCTCTCATAGCTCCTCTGCCTGCTTTTTCCCTCGCTACGCCGCTGCTCCTCTTCCATCGTCGCCAATTTGTGAACTCCCGATCGAAGCCGGTACTCCTGATCGGTATTTCTCCTGCTAATTTTTTCTTCATATTTTGCTGTAGTGCTCCTTGGTTGTTTTCGTATCCCCAACACTCATTGTTGGAGTTCTTTGAGAAATCAGAGCGCAAGGATTCAAGAGAGTCCTACTGAAATAATGTCTGTCTTATTTTAGTTTTATTTTCAAAATTATGAGAGTTCCTCTTTAGGTTATGTTTGCCATTAACCCCTGAAACATGGATTTAAAAATTCATCATAAGATCTATCAAACAAAGCTGATTCTAGCTCTTGTAATACTATTTTTCATGTTGAATCTCTCTATCTTCCACAGAAAGGCATCTTTTAATTTGTAATTAAATTGTGGTTTGTGATAAACAATCTAAGGAGTTACGTGATCAAAGATTGAAAAAATAATGTAAGAGACATTGATGCAAGTAGCAAGGGACAATGAATAGATTAATTGTTTATGAAACTTGGGTGTTTGTTAACCTAAAATTGAAAATTTTAATTAGCAGCCTCACTCTGTTGAGATCTTGATGAGTTCTATGGTTATCTTTTGATGCTTTGTCGATGTTAATAAATTAATTGAGATCCCTGTTACTTTGAATACCATTAATCCTTTCTTGAAGGACATTCACTTCAACCTCTCACAAATATGCAACGTTATATTTTTTGAAATGACAAACCACTCATGTAACTCCCAGTTCAGTAGGAAGGGCTACAACCCAATTCCTTTGTATTTATATATCAAGTGTTAGATTTGTAAATTCATAGAAATTGAGTTGTATGTATGTAAAACTTTCTTAAATTTATCATGTTATAACTTCAACGCAATGAGATAATCCTTCTCGTTTCTCATTTAAGAACATAATTGGAATGACAACATGTAAGAGATACGAGTTGAATTTTTACAATTTGATTGTCTTGCTTTATCTTTGCAAATTTATTTATAATATTTTCGTTACATTTTTTTGAAACGGAAGTGTTTATGGCGTTGAATCTTAGCATGCAGAATAATCCCACGAGGACTTGCAATAAAAGGCTTCGATGGTGATCTAGGCTTCAATTGATGCTGAGCCACTATATTCCTTTTGTTCTTAGATTGTGCTTCAATTCATCTGTATTACTTTTGCTAAAACATTATTGCAATCTGTAGCCAAAGTGATCAAAATACTGATACATGCTAGTTGGATACTTCATGAATTGTGAGATAGATGTATGCCAGTTACTCAAACATGTACTTCAAAGAAGTTGTGGCTGAACTCCCTCTTCCTCTTCCAGTTGTACTGTTAATGCAGTGTTGATTATTTTTTCTTTTGTTAATGTGTATGTGGCAAAATTGGGTGAGCTGTTTGCAAATGCCACAACATTTTTTTTAACTCCTTCCATCAATTGGTTATTGGAAGGAGTAATTTTTTATTCGAAGCTATGTATTTTCTTCTTCATTGCCATAATAAAGATGTTCACTTGCTTCCTCATGGATGTAGGTCAGTTTGACCGAACCACATAAATTGCTTGGTGTCCTTTTTTACATTTCAATTTCATTATTTAAAATGTTTATTTCATTCTGATTCAATAATCATAAATGCTTTGCTTTTATATCACCTGACGACGATGATCGGTTTCATTATACATTACATATATAACACTTCAATTTTTTTCCCTAACCATAATTAATTTAACATATTTACATATCAAACACTACATTTAACTTCATTAATTTTATGCGACTCAATTCTTTCGTAAGACCTCTAACTTTCGTAAGTCAATTCTTTCGTAAGACCTCTAAAATAATATGCAAATATTTGTAAAACTTCAAAGTTTATGTGTTAGATATGTAAATACATAAGATTAGTATATCTGTTCTTATTCCTAAACAGAAGTTGTTAACTCTTTGAGGGCTTAATGAAGTTTCAAAAAAATGATTGTTATACTCTTCTTTTAAACAGTTTTACCAAACATGAGCAATATGATCTTTTTTTTATAAACAACTGTCTGACAGCTGGTTTCACACAGCTGCACCAAACAGACAACTAGCTTTCCCGCAGCTGCTTGCAGCTTTCTGGGGCAGCGTAGCTGCAGCTGAAAAGTTGAGAAGCCACATCTGCGCCAAACAGAGTCTAAGAGGAGAAATTGTTAGAAAAAATAAGATAAAAAGAAAGCTTCTCTAATGGAAGTAGGCTTATTTTAGATTAATCATGAAAATTTTGGTCTTCTCATTATGTGCTTGATTTCTTCGTAATTACTTTATGGTTAACTGCATTTGCTTCGATTTAGTGCTTATATGAAACGTTAGGCTCTTTGCCTAACATTAACAGTTTCAATTTTGGGATGAGCACACTATATTGGTGATTATGCATTCCTTAGGGTCTATTTGGGGTAGCTGCAGTTGTTTGAAGAAATAATTATGAAACTGTTGCAGAATGAATTGTTTTTCAAAAAGCCGCAGTGCATATTAAAAAATTATTTTATTTTTAAAAGGCCAGACTATAGTTTTGACAACCATCATACTTTAATAACTTATATTAAAAAAATAACTTTCTATCACAGAAATTTCTAAAAATAATAAGAAATCAGTTCCCCAAACAAAAATGTGGTGGCCGTCTGAAAAACAAAGCAAACCGAAAACTGTTCCAAATAGACCCTTAATGTTTGGGATAGCTGCTTCTGCGTTGCCCCAAAAAGCTGCTGCGGGGAAGCTGACTGTCTGTTTGTTGCAGCTGTGTGAAAACAACTGCGGGACAACTGTTTTTGGCGGGACAACTGTTTTTGGAAACTGCGGGACAACTGTTTTTGGAAAAATGACCATTCTGCCTCCAATTAGTAAAACTGTTTAAAACAGAAACGTGACAACCGCATATTTGATACTTCAGAAGCATAAATTCATTTCAAATCATAAGAAAAGTTCAGATGCTCCACTCACTTAACAGTGAGTACCAAAAGTCCTAATAAAATAATAAAAACTAATAAAATTACAAGTCAAATAAGGATGATATTATTTTTAACATGAAAATGATGCATGTCTCATCCTAAACTCTCTCAATGATGGTATTAATTCGCGATCACTTTTGACAGTGGAATCACCCTGACCGTCAGCCCATTGAAAGAAGACACTATTCTGCGAGCCTCTGGGGGCATCTGTAAACATGTCGACCGTAGCCATGAGTCCGACGCGACCTCAAATAGGAAGTCTCTAATCACAACTCAGACTCATAACATGTATCTCAGGTCCCG